GATGTAAAATTGAAAAATAATTAGTTACTTTTAGGTACAAATCAAAGAAATTTTTCATCCAAAAAAAAATTAAACCATTTTAACTTAAGTATAGCTTCAGACATCTGTTGACCTCAATTGAAGAATTACAAAAAATACAATGGGTCCAAAAGGAAGGAAAAACACGACCAGAAAAAGTATTTTGAGATAAATATATAAATAATTCCCCAAGTATGATTTCTAAAAAGAAATTGTTGACCCAAGAATTCAAAAATGATAAAGTGAATCAACTAGGTAAATCTATAAAAACTGTTGCCATGTACAGTTGCTCATAATGCAATGAGAGCTACTTGGGAGGCTAAGCTCAGAGGATCACAGTTAAGCAGTCAGGCAAAAGGTCCACAGATCCCATTCCAAAATAGCCAGAACAAAATGGACTAGAGGCATGGCTCAAACTGGTACTTAATCTCCTAATATTCACCTCCCAAGGAACTCGGCTAGAAACATGAGCCACCGGTGCTAAAGCCAATTGCAGGCTCCGCCATTGAATTACAGCTTCAGTCCATTTTTGCTTCTGGTGTTTCGAAGTATTGTTCCCAGAACTATTTTCCCAGACGGGTTACCCACAATCCTCCCAATCTCAGCCTCCAAGTAGTAGATAAGAGGCATGGTCACCAGCACCTGGCCTGGCTAAATATTTTTGACCAGGACTCAGATTTTACTGATGTTGGAGGGCCAGTGGAGTAACTCAAATGGCAGAATCTCTGCCCAGCCAACCATGAGGCCAAGTTCAAACCCAGGTACTGAAAAAGGAAAGAAAAACTGACAATGGAAACATCTACATGCCAAGGAGCAGCTAGACATTTATCTTATAATACACTAAACAATTCACTCAAAATGAATTCAAGACCTAAATCTAAATCATTTTAAATCCTAGAAGAAAACACAGAGGGAAAGCTTCAAGACACTTAATTTGGAGATGATTTATTGATATGACACCAAATTGTAAGCAACACAATTAAAAAAATGGTACTACATTAAACTTCAAAACTTCTACATGTCAGTAACACTCAACAGAGTAGACAGATATCTACAAAATAGGAAAAAAAATTGCAAATCACATGTAGTAGGAGTTACTATCTAGAAAATACAAGAAACTTCTATAACTCAAAAACAACATAACAAGAAGTAGGCAAAGAACTTAAACAGATATTTTCCAAAAAGACAACCAATAAGCAATACAAAACTACAGCATCCCTAATCATTATAGAAATGCAAAGCAAAACTGTACCAATTCACACTGGTTTATAGCTATTACAAAGAAGAAAAACAAAAAATAAGTATTAAGAAGCAGGTAGAGAGCTGGGTCCCTGTGGTTCACACCTATAATTCTAGCTATTCAGAAGATGGAAATTAGGAGGATCAAGGTGCATAGTCAGCCTATACAAACAGTTCATAAGATCCTACCTCAAAAAAAACCCATCACAAAAAAAGGGCTGGTTGAGTGGGTCAACATGTAGGCCCTGAGTTCAAACCCCCAATACTTCAAAAAAAAGAGAAATAGATTGCAAACTTTTATGCTTCGTGTTAAAATGCTTCTTCAGAAAACATTAAGGCAGTTCCTCATAAAGCTAGAAACAGGGAGAAATGACCCAAGCATTGTATGTACATATGAATAATAAAAAAATAAAGAAATTTAAAAAAAAAAAAAAAACTAAAAAAATTCCACTTCTGATAATAAACTCTCAAAAAAACTGAAAGCACAGGCTTGAAGAAATATTTATACTCTCAAATTCATAGCGAAAATATAGAAGCAACTGAAATGATGATAAGTGATAAACAAAATATGGTGAATACACACACTGGAGTGCATAGCCTTAAAATGGAAGGAAATTCTGACATATGCTACAACACATAAACTTTGAGGACAATATGCTAAGTGAAATAAGCTAGTAACAAAAGCCAATTAATTTGACTTAAATGAAATACTGAGAGTAGTCAAAATCATAGTAGTCAAAATCAAGCACAGTGGCTCATGCCTATACTTCTAGCTATGTGAGAGGCTGAGTTCTAGAGGATTACACTTTGAGGCAAAACCAAGCAAATAGTTCACAAGACCCTTACTTCAAACCCTAGGCCAAAAAAAACCATCATAGAAACAGAAAGTAGAATAGTGCTTGCCTAACACAGGGAAAAGAAAGCAACAGGGTGTTAAAGTTTAATGGGTTTAGCCAGGGGCTTGTGCCTTCTACCTGTAATCCTTGCTACTTTGGAAGCTGAGATCAGGAGGATCAAGGTTTGAGGCCAGCCTGGGCAAACTGTTCTCAGGACCCTATCTCCAACATAATCATTGCCAAAATGGACTAGAGGAATGATTCAAACTGTAGAACACCTGCTTTGCAGGTGACAAGCTCTAAGTTCAAATCCCAGTCCCACCCCAGAAAAGAAAAAAATTTTCATGGTTTAGAGTTTCCATTTTACAAGATGAAGAGTTCTAGACAGGATGGCGGTGATGACTGTACATTATGAATTTATTTAACACTACTGGACTTTGCATTTAACATAGTAAAATTTGTGACTTTTATGTTCTGTACATTTACTTAATCATAAGAAACTAATACTTGCTAACATGAAAAAATAAAAATAAATAGTTTTTTTAAAAAGTTTAGCCAGGTTCCTGGGATTCACACCTGTAATCCTGGTTATTTAGGAGGCAGAGATCAGAAGAATCGCAGTTGGAAGCCAGCCCTGGGCAAAAAGGTTGTGATACCCTATCTCAGGAAAAAAAAAAAAAAGGGCTGGCTGACTGGCTCAAGTGCTAAGAGCACCTGCTTAGCAAGGGTGAAGGACCTGAGTTCCAACCCTGGTGCCACCAAGAAAAAAAATTAAAATGTTTAAGCAAGTGCTCTACCACTGAGCTATATCCCAGCCCTGTCAGAGATTTCCTTCTTTTTCGTGTGTGGAGGAGGGTCCTGGGGTTTGAACTTGTTAGGCCTCAACCTGACATAATTTATGCCATTTTCAAACTCTGCTTGACCCTAAAGTTGTTTGGCTCCAAGTAGAAATGGGCCTCTCAAGGAAAACATCTCCTTTCCCAGCACCTATGCCAGAACACAAGACCTAGTTCCTTGACTGTACCTAGGAACATCCTATACTTGCCACCAGTCTGTGTGAAATGTCCTGTCTTCCAGCACCAGAACACAAGACTCAGTTCCTTACCCCTAGTTTAAGGAGAGTAATGACAGAGGTGACTTCCTAAGAATAAAATTACTTAATAAACTAATTTGCAGCAACTTAGCTCATAACCACTGATTCAAGCCAAAAAAGAATATATGTAATGAATGTAGCATGCAGCATGTATTCCAGTGTTAAGGATATAAACTTTATAAAGGGCAGGAGGTTGGGGTGGGAGCCAGTGGGAGGAGTGAGAGCTTAAGGAAAGGGTGAATGAGGGTGAATATGGTGGATGTATTTTGTATTCCTTCGTGAAACAGTATAATGAAACCTGTTGAAATTGTTCTAAGAAGGGAGTAAGAAGAACAAAGGAGGGAATGAAACTCCATCCTTTTGTAAGATATACTGTAAGCACTTTTGAAAATATCATAAAGTATCTCCCTATACATGTATATGTATGTGTATACTCTGTATAAGTCTAATAAAAAATAAATACGTATCATTTTAATGAAATTTTTATCACATGATAAAATTACATAGCAACTAAAATTCTAAGGCCTTCTGCAATAGTTTAAGACAGCATCTGTGGTAAAACTGATAAAACATACTAGATTTAAGAATGCTGCTTTCAGTCCGGGAAACGATACAAGAACTGTACTTTCAAATAATTTTTATTTAATTTTATTAAATATTTTTTATTAAGCACCGTGGAGGTACACTTGCTAAGGTTTCTTTGCTTGTGTCTTCTCCTTCCACCAAGGCTCCTCTCCACATTTCTCCTCCCAGTATTTCCCACCATCTTGGCTGACAGGTGCAGCCATTAAGTAAATTACAGTGGCAACTTTTAACACAAACAAGAAAATGTCCCAGGTCGGTGTCCAATACTCATGAAAGAAAATTCCAAGGAGAGAGAGAAAAAAAATAAAAACGAAGGACATTTACAAAATCGCATTTGCAGTACTACATCTATGGGTTGCTAAATCCTAAAAAACAGTAAAGAAATCACTTAATCACTTAACTTCAGATGTAACAAATGCCAATCAGTATATAAGTCAAGCACCCAATACAAACTATTCATCGCAGTAAATGATCCGCAATTTACTTCTTCTGAGATAAGCGATATAAGAAAGTATAAAACGTGTAGTTAAAATTAGACAGCTCAAGTGGGCAGGCAAAACTGGGTAGGGAATGTATTAGTAGTAAATTCTGAAAACTACATATTCACCTTTCGTGATGCCAAAATTCAGAAATCATGGACCTCACCAAAAAACCCTGAAAAAGCAGGCAATTCTGTTGATTCTGTTGAGGGGGACCCTAAAGATTTGCCTCAAGCTACAAGGTAGGATTTGGCAAGGTAGAGAGCAAGGTCTCTACCAGTAAGAAGACAGAAAAGTCAGTAAAATAGCTTTGAAACGCCCCTTAGCCATTGTTGGCTGCCACAATGAGAAAAGGACAAGCAGCGCGGGACCGAAGCCTGAAACCTACAAGGCTCAGGCCTAAAGAACTATTGACAAATTCGGCCGCGCGCATTTCCCATACCTTGCCCAACAGCGTCTTGGTTCTGCTGACGTCTTCGCGAAGGCTGAGAAATCCGAAGAGCCGACTGTGGGAAGAAACACATGAGACAAGTTAATGATCATAGAAAGCCACTAACCACCCTTTCCCATGCCTGAGGCCTGGGCAGTAGCGAAGGGTTGGTAAGGGCCAAGCCCAAGTTCCGGTGACTACAGCGGGCAAGCGGCAACCGGGTCTTCCTGGAGAGTCAAGCAGTCGGGAGCCAAGTTGCCGGTGCCCACAGATCGTACCTGTCCAATCCAGCAAGCGACTCGGTCTCCTCTACTGTCAGACTGAGGGACCCCTCTTCGCTCTCGCCACTCGCTTTTTCCGCCGCCATTTTCTTTTCCTCATCGCCGGACGCAGCCCCAGCAGTAGGCAGCGACAATCCGCAGGATTTCATGGAAACGCAAAAAATTTATAACCCACACGTCTACGCTCACTTCTCTAGCCCAGAACCTAAAATGATGCTCTCAATCGCAGCTTGAGAGTGACAAATCAACTTTATCGCCGGCGCTGCCAGTAGCCAAGGAAAACTTCAAGGAAAAGGCGAAAGCAGAGGATATAGAATGGAGAGCTCCGCTGTCTAATCACATCACCTGGCAGACAATGATCGAAAGAAGACCGAAGCTCGTAGTGCTTGAGAGCCCCGAAAAAATTCTAGCACACCAAACTTAGATGGCACCAGGATAAAGTTGTTGTAATAGTGTCTCAGGGTGAACCTCACGCAGCTGCAGTGAAGCCTCTTCACAGCTAACCACACTCACCAATAGAAGCAACGAGATCGTCCCATGTGATCTTTGTTGACTTACGTCAGCAGTGGTGCCACTAAACTTGCTAGCTTCCAGTGCTCCTCGGTAAAGAAATGCAACTGGCCAGGGAGAAGGACACATGCTAACTCAAGTACGGTGGTTAGTTGCCAGATCAGTCTACCTGGAAAAGGGTCATTAGGGTGGAACAATGATTCGGTGTGCACAGAATGAAAAGGCCAGCCGTATCATTTACTTACTATGGTAGCCTCGCAAGTAGGAAGGGAAGGGTGAAAAGATCCAAGTTAGATATCTCTATTAGTTAAGTCAAATGCCTGACAAGGAAGCTAAGAACTTGTTACATACCAGCGGCCTTGTCGCAGATCCCATACTAAGGCTTCCACCATTCCTAGCTCTGAGATGCAGGATCACACATCACTTTAAGAGAAAGGATCACACTAAGAGAAAGGACTCAGATCCTGATACTTCTCCATCAGACGTCTCGGACTTTTGACATCATTGGAAATAAATGCCTTCTCCAGGAATAACTCCCACCACAGTCTTGTCGCAGCCTTAGCTGAACCTGTAGGCACTTGACTACCTCTACACTTACCTGAACAGAAATACACCATAAAAGCCCTATAACTAGCTAACAGATGTCAGGTTACAGAGAATGAAGAGGCACCTGCCTGCTCTGGTTTCTCTGCATGTATTTCATAGCTCCAAAATTTAATTGGCAGTTTGATGACAAATTTTAATGCTTTCTGCTTTTAGCAATTCATATAATATCTAGAGAATAAGCAGTAACAAGACTGTTAAGCTAGAACTCCCAAATCTCACAATCTCACAATTAGAATATAAGAAAAGAATAGGCGCTGCTTGTTTACACTCATTTAGAGAAGAATGATAGATGTAGCTCAGTGCTAGAGGACACGCTGAGCATGCCCAACGCCAAAAACTATAATGTTTTTTTCTTTTTTCTTTTGCAGTACTGGGCTTGAAATCAGGGCCTACTCCTTGAGACACTCCACCACCCCTTTTCTTGTGACAGATTTTTTTCTATATAGGACTTGGGAACTATTTGCCAGGTCTGCCTTCCATCTGTGATCTCCTGAGTAGATAGGATTATAGCTTCCTGGCGTTGGTAACTATTTTTAAAAGCAATAGTTAAGGTCTAGAGGTTTGGCTCAGGAAGTAGAGCACATACCTAGCAAGAGCAAAGCCCTGAGATCAAACCTCAGTATCCCCAAAAAACTCCCAACTGATTTTCCACACCAGTACAAATATTTTCATTGTGCTTTTTGAAACTATTAACTAAATCCATTTTATCGGCTGTACTCCATGTTAGTTAAATGATTATGTAGATCTGAATATTGCTAATAACTGTGTTAACTGTATTAAGTATATTAAATGTAATAGTGAACAGAAAGACTGAGTTTTGACACAAACATTTACAAAAGCAGATATTCAAATACTATAAAATATGGTCTTTTCCAAGAAGAATGCCAACCTTTGTCATTACAACACTGTCCTTCCTGCACACAATCATTAAAAGTGATATAGAACAGAACTGTACATATATGGGGATAGAAATTATAGCCAAAAGCACATGTCTTTTATGAAAGGGGATCATTGGCCTAAATTTAAAATGTAAAACTAATGCTGGAGGTGTGGCTCAAGCAGTAGGTTTTCTACTTTGCAAGCACCAACCACTGAGTTCAAACCCCAGTCTCATCAAAAAAAAAAAAAAAATTTAAACTAGCTGTAATCATAGCCATTTGGGAGGCTGAGATCAGGAGGATGGTGGTTTAAAGCCAGCCTAAGCAAATAATTCTTGAGACCTTATCTCAAAAATACCCAACACAAAACAAGACTGTGGTAGAGTGCCTGCCTAGCACATATGAAGCCCTCAGTTCAAGCCCCACTATCCCCCCAAAATATAAATAAATAAATATAAGGTATGCAAAATCATATATATGACATATATCATATATGTTCATAATTTGATTTCTTTTAATAAAATATTATATTCTGTGAAAGATACTGTTAAGAAACTGAAAACACAAGCCACTGATTGGGAGAAAGTTATCGCAAACATGTATATGATAAAGGATTTCCTTCTAAAATGTACTCAATAGTAATAAAAATATCCATTTTCAAAAAAGGGCAAATAAACTAATAAAGAGAAAATATAGAGTAAATAAGATAAAAAGATGCTCAATAATATTTTCCATTATCAAAATTAATATAACAATGGGGCTGAGCACAGTGGCTTAACCAGAGATCAGGAGGATTGTAGTTTGAGATCAAGCCAGGCATAAGTTATTCAAATTCCTATCTCAACCATTAAGTTGGGTGTGATGGCCCACACCTGTCTTCCCAACTAATCTGGGGAGGCCTAATTAGGATTGGGGTGCAGTCTAACCTGGCAAAATGTGAACCCCTATTCAAAAAATATCTAATGCAAAATGGTGTAGGCCATGGCTCATGTGGTAGAGCACCTGCCTAGTAAGTGTGAGATTGAGTTAAAAGCACAGTACTGCCAAAATAAATAAATAAGTAAACAAATAAACAAAGTAAACAAAATAACAATGGGCTATCACTCACAGCTATTAAAGTAGTTAAGAATACTAACTGTTTGCAAGGATGCAGGGCAACAGGTAAAAATGCAATGACTAAGCATAATTTTATGCAACCTTACCATTTTGATATGGATACGTAAACTAAGTGATACAGCAACATGAACCTACACAAAAGCTTGCACGTGACTGTTTATAATAGTCGTACTTATTATTAATAACTAGAATCAATTACTAGCTACAGAATAACCATTTTGTGGTGCATCTATATGATATTAATTTTTTAATATTTTTTGTCTGATAGGACTGGGTTTGAATTCAGGGCTTCTCACTTGCAATATATAATATTATTAAACAAAAAAAAAATAAAAAGTTATTAAGCTATGGAAAGGTGGATTTTTTCCCCCTGACTATACTGGGATTTGAACTCAGGCTTTGTTTTTGCAAGACTCAAATCAGGAACATTGAAGTGCAAGGCTAGCCTAGACAAATATTTCTAAAACTCCATCACCAAAATAACCAGAGCAAAATGGACAGGCAAGGCGCTGGTGGCTCAACACCTGTAATCCTAGCTATTCAGAAGGTAGAGATCTGAAGGATCACAGTTCAAAGCCAGCTGGGGCAAGTAGTTCTTAATACCCTACCTTGAAAAAAAAAAATACTATCCCAAAAAAGGGCTGGCAGAGTGGCTTAAGTGGCAGAGCACCTGCCTAACAAGTATAAAGTGCTAAGTTCAAACCCCAGTGCTGCTAAAATAAATAAATAAATAAGGACTAGAAGGTGTGACTCAAGCAGAACACCTGCTTCACAAGCATGAAGCCCTGAGTTCAAACTCCATTTGCACTGTTTTGTGCCAATGTTGAAGTGCTGGAGGCTGGGGTCTAGGGTCCTTGCCTACACAGGCCAGGGAACTGACTCATGAGGCAGCTGAATGATGAGCCAAAGCTGGTATGTAAAGTAGGATTTATTAGACAGAAAGGAAAGCTACAGCTAGAGAAGTGTAACGGAGCCCAGGTTCTGGTAACTCCCTGTTTAGGTGAAGGCTGGGGCTTTTTATGGACACTTTAACTCTGGGTTAGGATATCAGTTAGGTGGGTTTTTCTATTGGCCATGTATTTGCACGTGGGCTCTCTTAGATGAACTGGTCTGTTTGCCCCTAACTGGGGGTGGGGGACAATCTTGAGAGCATTATGTTTACCAGCCCCATGGCAGATTTGTGAGACCCTGTATCTCCTCCTCAGGATTCAGGAATGCAGATTTACAACTCCTTCTCAGGATGCAGGAATCATAGTCCTCTCCATGGGGATCCAACAAAATATTAATATTTTAAAATAAAGACAGGGCCTGGCAGCATTTTGTTGAACTATATCAGAGACTGACATGACAAAAGAAAAGATGATGCACCTCCTTCTGTGCGGGTATGCAGTTATGATTATATTATTATCATTATTAATTATCACTTATTGCAGGGCCAGGAATCCAATCCAAGGGATACTCACTCATCTGCCCTAGGTCTCTAGATCCACCAAGTCCCCTCCCTGAAACAAGCACACAACTGCTGTTGGGGAGGGGGTGATGACTCATCTAACTGCTTTGTGGTGACAATGGGGAAATGGGGGTATAGGGAAGAGGGTTCTTATCTCAGGGGTTAACGCTTGTAGTCTCCAGGGGCCCTCAATGTAACAGGGCAGACATGAGTATTCCTTGACTAATAGCTGGAGTTCGATCTGTTGGACATGTTGAGATATGAATCTGGAGAGAGCATTCATTATGCAAGAACCAAATAGGAGTATTAGAAGGAGCATAAAAAGGGTCTGCCAAGGGCTGCATATCTAGGGATCCACATTCTGCAAAATCCTGTAACTCCCAGGAAAGCTCGTAGCTGCTTTGTGGTCTGGGGGAGTGGGAAACGGAGGATTCGGTCGATTCGCTCATGATTCAGGGAGTGAGTCTGTCCCTTTAAGAACATGACCTGAGAGAGGCATAATTGAGCCTTTTCCTTAGAGACTTTGTATCTACGGAAGCCAGAAAGTTTAAAAGGGACTCAGTTACCCTAGAGATGAGGGGCTCTGTGGCTCCACACAGAAGTATGTCATCAACATATTGAAGAAGGGTGGCCTCAGGGTAGTACCAATCTAGTAAGTCTTTGGTTAGAGCCTGTCAAAAAGATGAGGGCTGTCTCTAAACCCTTGTGGTAAAACTGTCCAGGTTAGTTGCTGTGAAGGGTTAGTGGGATCTTCAAAGGCAAACAGGGGCTGACTGTCAGGATGAAGGTTAAATATAACACTTCTGGATGAAGGAGAGCTTTAGCTCATCATTTTACATAAACTGACACTTTTAACTTCACAAATGCTTATACCATATTTAGATAAAGCATAGACACAACAG